TGTCCCTGTCTGTGTCCTGGTCTCCCCTGCCCCTGTCTGTGTCCTGGTCTACCCTGTTCCTATCCCTGTCTTGGTCACCCCCGTCCCTATTCCTGTCTCTGTCCTGGTCTCCCTTGTCCCTGTCCTTGTCTTCCCTGTCCCTGTCTGGGTCCTGGTCTCCCCTGTCTCTGTCCTGGTCTGTCCTGTCCCTGTCCTGGTCTCTCCTTGTTTCTGCCCTGGCCTCTGCCTGACTCTGTCCTTGGCCTCGGGGTCCAGGCTATCAGGGCGTCTGGGGCGCTCAGAGAGCCTGCGGGTGAGTGACCGCCGCCGACCTTCCCGGGGCAGCCTCGGGGCTAAGGGCCGGGGTGGGGGCCGCTCCCGGAGCGACGTGGACATGGACCCCGGCTCCGCCACGGCCGTGCTTGGCCCTACCCGACGAGCCACGTACGTCACTTCCCCCTCATTAACTGAAGAAGCCTAGATAGTTGGGAGGTGGTGGGTTGATGGTAGACTCTCAAGGAAATAGCTAGCCAAAGACTTAGGTTGCTGAGGGCCAGTTATGGACAGTACAGGCCACTGAAGAGTTGGGAGGTGGGACATTGCTGTCTAGAGAGCTGGGGATTGATTGGTTTGTGTCATGGGTCACCTAGAGGCATCAAATGTCGAGGACACTAAGGGGTTGTAACTAAGGAGCAAGAAGAGCTCCCTGGGATGCTCAAGGCTGGGGCCTAACAAAGCTTCTGTCCACAGCCCTGAGCCTGGAGATGATGGGGAGCAGGGACGGACAGGCCTGGAACTGGAACCAGAGGAACCTCCCGGCTGGAGGGAACTCGTGCCCCCAGACACCCTGCTCAGCCTGCCCAAAAGCCAAGTGAAGCGGCAAGAGGTCATCAGCGGTGAGTTCCACCCTGAGTCCTGCAGCAGCAGGGGTACCATGCTGGCTGAGGCAGAGACGGGAGCGTGAGGGCCGAGGCTTCCAACAGAGGACAGCTGGATGCACAGCTGCAAAAGAGATGCAGGAAAGCCAGGGTCGCTAGCAGAGCCATGCTTCCAAAGATGGTGCAGCAGTTCTGATGTCAGGAGCCAGGCACAACCACTGTCATCCCTGGGGATGGTCTGGGGAGGGTCAGGAGGCCAAAGGGAAAGACAATCAGAGGTTCAAGGCCAGGACCCATGAGGTGGCTTACTGGGTAAAAGGCGCCAGGATCCACCCACATGCTGGGAGAGAGCCACCTCCACAGGTTGTCCTCTGACCTCCACATGGGTGCCATGGTATGCACATGTATGTGCATGCGTTTGCACACACATACTGTGTGTGTATGTGTAAATGTAATTTTTTACACTGAGGATATTCACTTCAATCTTAGCCCTTGGGAGGCAGATCTCTGTAAGCTCCAGACTAGATTAAACTACATAGCAAGTTTCAGGACTACATCAAGAGATTCTGTCTCTTAAAAACAAACAAACAAAAAGGAAAAAGGAGCCAGAAACAATATGAAGCTGCTCCCCCTCTGCTCTTCTTAGGCATTTCAGTTTCAGTTTGTTTCTGGTTTTTGTTTCTTTGAGGTAGGGATTCTCTGTGTAGCTCTGGCTGTCCTGGAGTTAGCTCTGTAGAGTAGAGCCTTAAACTCACAGAAATCCAGCTGCTTCCTGAATGCTGGAGTAAAGGGGTGTGCCACCACGCCCAGCCATTTTCAACTTTTTCATTTGTATTTGACTTAATTTGCTTATTTTTATCTGTATGGGTATTTTGTCTACATGTGGATGCCTGTTGTCCCTGGGTTCCCTGGGGCTTTAGTTACAGATGGTTGTGAGCGGCTGTGTGAGGGCTAAAAGTCTGCAAGAGGAGCCAGTACGCTCAGCTTTTGAGCCAGCGCTCCAGCCTCTCAGCTAGAGTCTCGTGTAGATCAGGCTGGTTTCCAACTTCCTTTGTAGCTCAGGGTGGCCTTGAACTCCTGATTCTTCTGTCTCAGCCTCCTAAGTGCTGGGATTACAGTTGGGTACCACTAGGCCTGGCTCTGACTTTTGTTTTCTGAGACAGGGTCTCACCCTGTAGCCCAGGTTGGCCTGGGACTCAAGATTCTTTTCTCTCAGCCTCCTGAGTAGCTGGGCCTACAGGACTGCACCATTAGCTTGGCTGTGGAGCTCTCAAAGTGTGGTGGCCACAGCCGAGTACTGTGCTCTATGTTTCATTTACATTTTGTAGCCACAGTGGAAATAGCAGCATGTGGCTAGCGACCCTCCCATTAGCTTACATGGCTGCCTCTTACAAGGAATAGTGTTCAGGGCAGTGAGATGGGGACGCACAGTGCACTTGCAGCACTTGAGAGCTGGAGGTCGGAGGCCAGGGTTTCTAGGTAACCCTCAGCTGCAAAGCCAGTGCAAGACCAAACCAGGCTTCAGGAAACACCCCCCCCGACATGCACACGCACATACCTTCTGTCTGTCTGTCTCTCCTCACATATATACATACATCACATACACACACTCTCCCACACACACACATACTCTCACCTCTCTCTCACACACACACTGTCTCTCTCACATTCTCTTTTATACACACAGTCTCTCTCTCCCAACACACTTCTTTTACACACACTCACACACTTTCTTCTCTTACGCACATACTCACACACATACACACTCTGTCTCTCCCAACACACTTCTCTTGCACACACTGTCTCTCTCATACACACACACACACACACACACACACACACATTATCATCATCATCATCACACGGTGCATTTAGTCTTAGACTTGTGTGCCCCTGAAACTCATTGAGGTACCCAGTGACTGGTTGCTTGTGGAGGAATGGGGTTGCCCCTGGACTTGAAGCTACCAACCTGTATTAGAGGAATCATTATGTGTTGCCAGACATCTGTATTCCCAACACCTGGGAGGCTGAGGTAGAAGGTACTTGAGTTCCAGGCCAGCCTGTACCACATGAGAGTCCCTGTCAATAGGTAGATAGCTGTGTGTCTGTATGTGTGTGTCTGTCTGTCTGTCCTCAGTGGCTACATGAGGCAGTAATGACTCTATCCAGAGTATGTTCTGACCTCAGAAACTTCTCAGGATCCTTCCTGAACCTCCCCATTCTCCCAGCCTGCCTTTGAACCTTCCCCTACAGTTTGCGTCCTCCCTAGTGATACTTCCTGGTTTTGGGCCCACAGAGCTGCTGGTGACGGAGGCAGCTCACGTGCGCATGCTGCGGGTGCTCCATGACCTCTTCTACCAGCCCATGGCAGACGGGGGCTTCTTCCCTCTGGAGGAACTGCAGAACATCTTCCCTAGCTTGGATGAACTCATTGAGGTGCACTGTGAGTACCGGCCACAACCCCTCCCAATCCACACCCTTCATCAGCTCCCTCTTCTGGGCCTTCTCCATTGAGTACCTGGACTATTCCTAGGGATCATACACTCTGACCCCCAAAGCACACACCCCAGAGGTGCATACATGCACATGACATGTGTATGCCAGCTCACCAGCCCCAAGAGTCAGACACAGAGCTGCAGCCTGAGCCAGCAGCAGCTCCAAGCAGGCAATTCAGTCTCCTAAGCGCCAACCAAGCACCTCCTGTGTCCTCCACAGCCCTGTTCCTCGATCGCTTGATGAAGCGGAGACAAGAGAGCGGCTACCTCATTGAGGAGATTGGCGATGTGCTGCTGGCCCGGGTGAGGGTGCCCCTGCATGGCCTCAGGCACTGCCTCTTAGTCTCGTCCCCACATCCCCCAGCCATCCGGGCCCCAGGCCTGTCCCACTTTAGCTTCCATCGCTAAACAAGGCTGTTTTGACAGCCCCCCTGAGACCTTCCCTTGCCTGAATCTCCCTGCAGTTCGATGGTGCTGAGGGCTCGTGGTTCCAGAAGATCTCCTCCCGCTTCTGTAGCCGCCAGTCATTCGCCTTAGAGCAACTCAAAGTCAAACAGCGCAAGGAGCCTCGGTTCTGTGCCTTTGTGCAGGTGAGGGTGGGACACAGGCCTCGGGTTTGATCAAGACACATCACACAAACATCAGGGTATTCTGCGTGTGAGGGAGGAGGGCTAGAGCTAAACTCTGGGGTCTTAGAGAAAGGCATGGCCCTGGGCCACCTCAGTGCTGTTCGCTCCCCAGGAAGCTGAGAGCCGCCCTCGGTGCAGACGGCTGCAGTTAAAGGACATGATCCCCACTGAGATGCAGCGGCTGACCAAGTACCCACTGCTGCTGCAGAGCATCGGGCAGAACACAGGTACCCCCCCGAGGCCTTCCTCTGACCATGACCACTGAGCCAGGACGTGACACGGTGGGGGTTTACACCTCTGGCCTTGCCTGCAGAAGAGCCTGCGGAACGGGAGAAAGTGGACCGCGCAGAAGAGTGCTGCCGGGAGATTCTGCACCATGTCAACCAAGCCGTTCGTGACATGGAGGATCTGCTGGTGAGCCTGGGCATGGCAAGGGTCATACTTTCACCTTGCTCAGAGATCAGACATAGCCTTTGCTCCCTTGGGGTCAGTGTCCAAAGGTCATTTATCCCTTAGTGTCTTCCTCTTGGGATTGCTGGGAGACTGATCTGGACCTCAGCATGTCCCTCAGAAGTTGGCCTTGCTTCGTTGCTTACTCACCCTCCTTGGAGTCGCTGAGGGCAGCATCTGTGCCTGGTTTAGCCCCCTGGAACCCTTCCTTTCTCTGCTCTAGAGACTCAAGGATTACCAGAGGCGCCTGGACTTGACTCACCTACGCCAGAGCAGTGACCCCATGCTGAGCGAGTTCAAGGTGAACCCAGTGGCTTTTGCCTCTCCTCAGTTCACCTTGGTTCTGCTGCCCCACGGGTTCCTGCATATAATATGTGCAGCTGAGAATGCACCCAAGGAACCGCTGTCCCCACCTCCTTCCCAGATGTGTGTCCATGGTGACCCCAACTTCACCCCCTGGTCCTTGGCTGTTCTGCCTGCTACCTTGCCCTCCCTTCTCGTCTCTCCTCCTGCCACTTAACTGACCATGGTGACCCCTGACATCACTCCCTGGTCTTTGGCTGTTCTGTTTGCTGCCTTCCTCTCCCTTCTGTATCCCCTCCTGCCACTTAACTGACCATGGCTCCTTCCCACCTTAGAACCTGGACATCACTAAGAAGAAGTTGGTCCATGAAGGTCCACTGACATGGCGGGTAACCAAAGACAAGGCTATAGGTGAGTGCTCCCTCCAGCCAGGGGAAGGAGGGGTGGGGTTGGTGGTCATAGAGGTCAGGTGTGATCCTGGTGCCTCACCCAAAGAGGTCCACGTGCTACTGCTGGACGACCTGCTACTGCTGCTTCAGCGCCAGGATGAGAAGCTGCTGCTCAAATCACACAGCCGGACGCTCACACCCACGCCTGATGGCAAGACCATGCTGCGGCCTGTGCTCCGGCTCACCTCTGCCATGACCCGAGAGGTGGCCACTGGTAAGCTGGGGCAGCTTGTCTGAGTGGAGTTGCCCCATGAAGTAGGGAGTAGAACCTAAAAGCGCCATAGCGCCCTCTCTGGAACAGGCCAGAGACTGAGAAAGGTAGAAAGACTGACAGAGGCAGAAATGGGCGGGACTAAGTAAGAGTGGCAAACGTGGTGCCTTGGGTTTGAAATCAGCCTACTAAAAATAGAGCCGGGCTTAGTGGTGCATGGCTTTAATCCCAGCATTCGGGAGGCAGAGGCTAGCAGATTTCTGCGTTCAAGGCCAGCCTGGTCTATAGAGTGAGTTCCAAGACAGCCAGTACTACACGGAGAAACACTGTGTCAGAAAAGGAAGAAAGAAACTAAAAATAAATAAAAATAGAGGAAACTGCCTACATTTACAGAGAAGCATGGTCTGCCTCATGGAGATTTTTCACAACATTGACTTGTACTTGGGACATAAGGTGGAACTGCATGCAGAGAGTTTGGCAAGCATTGTGGGGGAAATTGTGCTAGTGTCATTGATGGTGGGTGGAGCTGGGGGAGGGGTAACTGCAGGTCAAGGCTGCCTAAGCACTCCAGCCTGGTGTGATGGGCCGCGGAAGAAGACCTCAGTATTAGCTGGACAGTGACTGGGAACTATATTGCATAAGGAAAAAATAGTAGACACTACCCCAAGAGGGATCCATACTGGGAACCTCAGTACCAGGCCCTGTCTCTCCCCTCCCTATGCAGATCACAAAGCTTTCTACGTCATTTTTACCTGGGACCAGGAGGCCCAGATATATGAGCTGGTGGCACAGACATCGTCAGAGCGCAAGAAGTGAGAGTCCTCAGGGATGGTGTGAAGGTGTGTGTCCCACACAGGGTTCAGGTGTGCTGAATGCCTCTGGTCTTGGCCTGTCTCCCCAGCTGGTGTTCTCTCATCACTGAGACTGCCGGATCCCTAAAGGTCCCTGCCCCTACCTCCCGCCCCAAGCCCCGGCCCAGCCCAAGCAGGTAAGGAGAGCTAGAGACCCAGGGAATGGAGACCATGTCCCTGTGCATCTACGAACTTGAGCCCCAGCCTGTCTCTGTGCACGCACGTGCATAAGCATGTATACATGTATGTGTGTGCTGACTCCATCATGGCCTGCCTCCTGTCTCTAGGCCTCTGTCTCCTATTATTCAGGCCTCCTCCAGCTCTTTGTCCCCCGACCCCTGCCACTCCCTGGGGTCCGGGATGTGGGGTTGGTCACCCCCATCACTTCTCTCCCTAGCACCCGAGAACCCCTGCTCAGCAGCTCGGAGAATGGCACTGGAGGCCGAGAGATGCCTCCAGCTGATGGTAAGTCCAAAGGTCTGGCTGGGGGAGGTGACTGGAAACCAGGCAGGATCTGAGCCTCCCTCTTTGTCTGCCTCCCCAGCCCGGACAGAGCGCATTCTCAGCGATCTCCTGCCCTTCTGCAGACCAGGCCCAGAGGGCCAGCTTGCTGCCACAGCCCTGCAGAAAGGTAGGCCAGCTCTGCACCCTCAGGTCCGGGAGCTAGCCGAACAGTGCCTCAATTCGAACTAGAGAAAGGCTCCGTCTTTCAGATTTCTCTTTGTCCACAAATCAAGAAACTCTGCCCTGCCCACAGATCCTGGGCATCCCACATTGATCTTTCTTCTTCAGCTACTCTCCCACCCTGGATGCTGAGTTCAGTTTCTCCAACTTCAGGTCCCCTGCCCCATCCTAATCCTTTTGAATGATATTCACCCCCATCCCTCAGTTTCCAGCTGGCCCTTATCTCCAGTTCTCTGCACACAGCCAGAATCCCAAGCCCTCTGCCTTCATGACCCTGCCCCCCTTTGCCTTGGCCAGTGCTGTCCCTGAAACAGCTCCTGTTGCCTGCTGGGGAAGACGGTGGACTGGGGCCTCCCCAGGATGGGGATGGGGTGCCTGGTGGTGGTCCCCCAGGCCCAGCACAGATTCAGGAGAACTTGCTCAGCCTAGAGGAGGCTGTCAAGCAGCTGGAGGTATGCTTGGGGCCAGGGGACTTGGGGCAGGCCGTGGAAGGAAAGGCATTCCTCATCTATGGTCCTCTCCAGGAGTTAGAGGAAGAATTTTGTCGCCTGAGATCCCTCCTGTCTCAGCTTAGCGGAATTTTGTCACCTAGCCTGGCTGTACCTGAGCGCTCTGTTCAGACAAGTGAGTCGGGAACTGGGGCCAGGATACCCTGTTCCACTGTCCTATCTGTCTCAGTCCATCCCTCCCTACCACTACTTTCTCAACCTCTTTCCTCCATCTCTCCTTATCTGCTTCTTGTAACCCTCAGGCCTTTCGTGAAGAGACCCCCGCGGCTGCCACAGCGTCTCACACCCCAGAGGCCTTGAGGAGAGGGAGACTGGCCACACTTGATAGGGGACCTGCTGGAGTCCCTGCCTCCCACACTGGCCTCTGCCTTTCTCCCTCCTGCCTTTGCTTCGGGGCTCAGGGCTTCACCCCCAGAGTACCACCATAATCCCCATTTTCCAGGCCATCTCAGTATTGCCTATGGGGGGGTTACCCCTCCATCCCCCCACCCCAAGTGCCTTTGCTCTGTTTTTATACCCTGAATGGAGGTTTATTTTTAATATATATTATCTAAGGAGATGTCTGTGTGTGTGAGAGCGATGGGGCCCCATGTCTGGGTTTGACCCACGTCACCTCCATGACTCTTGGCTCCTTTCCGGCTCTCCATCCATTTATTCACTTGTCTTACATTTTTAGTTAGTAAATTGTGGTGGGGCGCACATGGGTGCCATGTCAGGACAACCTGTGGGAGTTGGTTCTCCGTCCTCCTTCTGGTCGTCAGGCTTGACAACAAACATCTGTACCTTAACCATCTTGTCCCCATTCACTTGTAACAGTGACACCACACATACAGTGGATATGAGGTGTGTGCCCCCCCCCCCCACATTTGGAGCCCCATGGTCATCCAGAATGCCAGCCAGGTAGCCCATAGCTCACACTCGTGTTCTTTTATTGTTGTAGTAAACTCTGGAAGTGGCTGTGGGATTTCAAGGGGAGCCAATGGGGAAGGGACCCCTTCTGGGGGTGGGGGTGGGGGCGGGGTTATTGCTCTGAGCTCCCTGTCCCCAGGGGGACCTGACTGGGAGAATTTCAAGAGGGGGCTGGCACTGGATTGGGGACACTGCCACACAAACACGCAGGTCACAGCACATAGGAGGTCGGGGAGGCTGGGCGCCATATTGCACTTTGAGAGTGGGGCCAGTTGGTTTTCCCCCTCAAATTGAAACCTGGGGGAGACTGGAGGCCATCATCTCCCTTTCCCACTCTGTGGAGAAGGTGTGACCTCCACTCAGGTCTTGGAGGAGATGGCCAGGAGGTGCCAAGGGCTAGTCCTGGGCCTTGGGCTGGTGTTAAGGGCAGACCAGACTACCCTGGTCACCAGCGGAATCCACCCTGCACCGCTCAGCTGCCGCTCCCCCCTTTGCCTGTCTTAGTCTTGGGGGATGCGGGTAGACCCTCATCGCCTTCACTGTCAGAGCTGCAGCCGCTGACGTCGGTGATCTCCAGCTCAGAGTCGCTGTCCTCCTTCCCACCCTGAGTGGCCTCTGGACCTCCCGCCCCTGGCAGTGCCAGACGAGGGGCGACTGCCAGCCCCGAGGGGCGCTCAGGGCCCAGGCCCTCCCCTGTTGCAGCAAGCAGGGGTGCAGCCATGGGACCTCCCCCTGCTCCTGCAGAGGGCAAGTGTCCCAGGGAACCCAATGGGTTAGGGTAGAAGTGAGGTGGGTAGAGAGAGGTAGGCAACTTGGGGAAAGGGCCCGTGAGGTATGGGTTAAAGTTCCAGGGGTAGTCAGGGAAGGCGCGGCCGTAAGGACCCAACAGGCTGGGGGGCTTGGAGTAGCTGGTGGCACCTGGGGGGGTGACATAGGGAACAAGTCAGACTGGCCCACTGCCCAAGGGGACCAGCTTGCACCAGGTGGACCTCCCCAGTGTACTTCTACTCAGGCTCTCCCACCTCTCCTCCACGTCATCTCTCCATTCTCCTACCTATTTCTTTAACTTGCCTCCCCCCAAAACCCTGCCAAGTAGCCAGCTCCCCGGCAAGCTGCTCAGCAGCAGCGTCTCTGCCTTGATTGGTTTTGTGAGATGTTCCAATTGTGTGAGCCAAGTTGGCTTCCAGCTTGTGATCTCCCTGCCTCCTGAATGCTGGGTTGTGTAGTCCAGCGTGACACTGACCTTGACCTTCCAGTTCCAGTGCGCCCCTCACCTCTGGGTCACTGGTATGTGCGCCACACCCAGCTGCTTCTGCGTAGGTAACCTGAGGCTTTGTGTAAGCTGAGCTACATTGTCACCCCCTTCCCTGGCCTTTAAACACATGCAACCACACAGAAACTCCAGACACCCCAGCCTGGACATCCCTCTGTCTTGTCCCCTGCAGGCCTCTTTTTCCACATGAGCGGATCCCCCCACCCCCAGCCCCAGGCCCTTACCAGAACCCAGGAATGGGAAGGGACTGTCCAAACGTAGTTTATCAGTCTCTGGGGCGAATAGGGGTGTCCGACCCCCTGGCTCTCCTAGGCGTGGGGTAGAGAACAGGTTCTGCAGGGTCTAGAGAGGAAAGTAGGGAAGGCAGTACTGCTTAGCCCTCTGTGGGGAGGGTCATGATGTAGGGGACACCCCACTAAGATCCAGCCCTAAGATGCCAGTATCCAAACTCACCTCAGGGGTCAGGGGTGGAGCATCTGGCCCAGGCGCCCCCCCAAAGGGTCCAGGTGTCAACAAGAGTGGGGAGCCAGTAGCAGCAGCAGCCATGTCCAGCAGTGGATAATTGACAAGCACAACTTTGCTGAAGTTGAATTTGTACGTGAACCTCTTCCCTTTGGTCTTGTGGAGAATGCGCTTGTTGTAGTAGTAACTGTGGGAGAGAGGATGGGGTTCTGGGGAGGGGCAGGGGAGGGTGAGGCAGTAGCTGGGCTCAAGTTCTTCTTGTTGCCACCCCCACCCAACTTCCACTCACAAGTACTGAGATCCAATGGAATTCAGTTCTAGGATACAGAGGGAGCACCCCCACCTTTTAGGGGGACCAGAAGGGACAGTGAAGGGAGAAGAGAGCATGATGGGAGCCTGGCCCACAGCCCCTCCTCACCGCAGGGCCCGGCTCAGCTTGTCATAATTCATGTGGGGCTTGCACTTGCGAATGCCCCATAGACGGGCCACCTCATCAGGGTCCTTGATGACAAATTCCCCATAGTCCCCCTGCCAGGCGATGACGCCCTGGTACTCCTCCTTCTGCAGCAGCTCCAGGATGAAGTGCCACAGCTGGATCTGCCTCGAGCCAGGGGAGGACTCCGGCTTGTAGGCCCAGTCTGGGAAGGCAAACCCTAGAGACACAAGACAGGGAAGCCTTAGGGCTAGGAAGCTGAGATAAGGTTCTGGGTCTCACTGGAGTCTGCAGCTGAGATGTTCAGTCTCTGAGGAGCATCTCTAGGGGCCTGTGTGTCACTCTTCAGACCTCTCCTGCTTGAGTCTGCTCCCCAAGTTACCTAAACAGCTGGAAGAAGCCCCTAGGCTTGTGCTCCCAACATGTTTTGTGCAATTGCCCCAGGTTCAGCCAAGGAAGGGGAGAATGGAATTGAGGGGGACACATTTCCTGCATCCATGGCTATCTTGAGGGGTGGCCAAGAGGGCACACCCTCACAGTGATCACCCTTAACCCTGCTACACTGTTAGGAAACCTTTGATATTTCCTGTGTCCTGACAGCTCTCACAACTGGCCGGTTCCCTGAGGCCCCATTGGAGCACACATGTATCCATGTATGTATCTATGTGCCTTTAATGTGTCCCCTCCCACATCCATGCACCCATCTTCAAGCTTTCCAATGTGAGGTGTGTGTCTGCACGCAGGCCCAGACCTATAGGTTCCCATGGTGACAGCAGATCACACAGCCACTTGCAATGTTATCCCATAGGACACAATCTCACCCAAGTGCCACACTCCTGCCTGGGGCCACTAAGGCCAACACCAGATAGAGAGGCTGCCTAAGATATAAGGACCCCAAACCCAGCATTGTGCACCCATTGCAACAATCACCACTATACACTAAAGGCCTCTGTTTGGCCCCCCTGACAAGTGTATGACAGAGACACATGAGCCCAACAGCCCAGCTAATACCTGGTGTGACAGACAATGAAGCAATGACACCAAAGTCCCCAGATAGACAGCTGGACACATGCAGGGTAACAGTGATAACTGAACAACTTCCCTTCCCATGGCCACATCCAGGCATGTGTATGTCAGCGCTCCCATGGCCCACTTGGTGTTACTTCACCCTGGAAGGAGCATCTACTATCCATATGCCCCTAGAAGCCTGGAGCAGGCAGAGATCTTGCCCACCCCTGGTCATCCCAACCTAGAAGGCTTTGGGTCCCAGTGTCCACAGCAACTCCTATGTCATCCTCCATCTCCTCCTACCTTCCGAGAGCTGGCATGACCCAGGTGTGAACACATGGTTTAATCTGACCTCTAGCAGGCTGGGAGCAGTGCAAGAGAAGCGGGAGAGGGCTCGGGGAAGCCGCCGCAGAGCTGGGGATGAAAGGGACTGTGTTGAGCTGGGAGACCTGTGTCCTTGGATCTAGTGCTGTGCAGCCAGGGGAACATTCCTTGCCCTCTCTGGATTGAGGTCCCAGAGGCAGGCAAGGAGCTGCAGAGTCCCACCCAGGCTGCCCTCTGGTGTGTAAGTGGGCACATGATGCCCTACCTGCTGAAGGACAGGCAGTTCTTGTCCATTCCCCATGGAAGAGGGATTTTTAATCAGGGTCAGTCTCACCTCAGATGCCATGATCAATCAGTCTAGATGGACAGTGGCCTAGCCTTACTCCTAGTACCCTTCCTCGGGAAAGCCATTGCGTCACAAACATGTTTGCACAACCAAAAGACAAGAAGGGATTCAATGGCGAGGGGACCTGCTACAGAAAGCAGACACAGACAATCCCCAGAACCAAGCAATGGGAGGCACACAGAGACACAGCCCAAAAACCAAGCCCAGATCTGATATACAGGTCCAGGGCCATCTATCCACACACTCCAAAATGTACCTCAGCTACCTGCTGAGGATGCCACAGACTACCAGAGACAGGCACAGCCTCCTTTCCCCACCAAGGCAGAGGCATAGCACACGAGCTGGCAGATGCCAAATGTACACATGCATGACCCCCGAGATGTTGAGCCCAGAGTTGCTCCTGTGGCCTCCCTCTGGGGTGCAGTCTGTGGAGCAGGCACAAGTTCACACAAAGACAGCCTCCTGCAGACACTGCCCTGTTACCCCCTCAGGAACACTGAAATGTGATGCCTGCAAACACGCCACAATGAAATTCCCGGCAACCAGCCAAACGGTTGGTTCTCAAAGACTCACCCCTATTAGTGAGCCCTGCATGCCCAAGCAGGTCCTGTTCCCCTGAGTACCACACACATCTTCTTGCATCCTCTCTTTAGGCTGAATCCCTCCCCTTGTGCCTATCCTAGAGGTATAGGCTCTGCCCTCAGCACAGTAGGTCCTGAGTGGGTGCAGACTAGGTGTACATGGCAGAGAAATACCAGATCTCAGTTCCTTTGGTCCTCATCCTCCAAAAGACCTTCAACCCTTGCGTCCCAGCAAGCAGGTGGCAGGGAGAGAGAGGGCCCTGAAGTTTCTGGTCAAGTTCCTCAAGAAAGGGTTTGTAGTTAGGGGACTGATGGAGACCCAGACAGACAGGTTCACAGGTACATAAGACAGATGAGGAAAAGGGAATATACAGGAGAGGGTGCAGCCCCTGGGAGCGGAGCGGGGAGGGCTGATGGACAGGACAGTTACAGTTACCAGGGGTCCAGAGAGCAGGCAGGGCAGGCGGGGCGAAGAGAAGGTCTGAGACGCAGCTACAGTCCATGGCAGAGCGAGCCCTGCAGAAGCCGGGACAGACAGGACAGCGAGAGAACCGGGTCAGCCAGCGGGTGCTGCGGGTCTTCCCCCTCCCAGGCTCTCTGCTATCAGCCCGCCCAGCTGCCCTCAGTCCCCACTCTCTCCCTTCTGGCAGCCCGGCTCCCTAACTAGAGCCACCATCCTTCCCCTTCCGTCCTCCTTGCCTCCCCATCTCTTTGGTCCTCTTCACTCTAGCCCAGTGAGGGATTCACCAGCCGCAGGCTCTCAACACCCTCCACTCACCCCGATGCCCCAGGCCCACTTCTTGCTATCCTGCCTCCCGCCTGACTTCTGGGGGAGTAAGGGGTTGGTCCCTGGGTGTCTCCCTGTGCCCGTGGCTCTCTCCAGCTACTTCAGATTTATCGCACAGAAACACAAACTCGCCCCCACCTGGCTGACCCCCGGCAGCTCCCTCTGTGGCTCATGCTGCAGCAGTGGCCAGCTCAGAGATAGCAGAGCTGGGTACCTGCTAGCCGGGCTGGGAGGAGCAGACCCAGCCCTTCCCTTTCTTCCCCAGGTAGACACTACCTCCCCCACACCCCTAGTTTGTCCTCTGAGCCCACAGACCCTCCTGTCAAACCTGTCGCTCACCAAAGGTTCTCCATCATCCTTTCCCCTGAGATTGGCCCTCTAGGCACCCCTTCTAGGAGCTCCAACCCCCCCAGTCCTTCCCCTCAGACCAGTAGTCTTTTCCCTTCCTCCCAAAGCAGACCCAAGCCTGCAGACGATGAACAGAACCCATGGACCCCTGCCTCAAACCTGCTGTTCAAAGATTCTCCAGCCATTCCTTCGAAGACCAGCCAGCCTCCCTCTCAGATACTCCCTCCCAGCAGAGAGTCCTCCACACACACGTCCACTCAGATTGGTATCCTCCCACAGACACCCTTGCCCTCACCCTAGACTCTCCCTCAGACACCAGTCCCCTCAGATTGGCATCCCCACTTAGATACCCCTTCCTCAACTGGTCTCTGCCCTCGGACACCACTTCCTCTGGCAGTGCCCCTGCTTAGGACAGCCTCTTCCCTTGGATCTGCCTCCTCCCTGCACAGACCCCTTGAATTCCCATTCCTTCAGAAACCTCACCCCTTTCCTAGCACTGCCCCCCTCCATGAGCTCTGCCCTTCAGACACCTTCACCCTTAGTCCTCTGCCCCCCCACTCCTCTGCCCCCCACTCCTCTGCCCCCCTCCACTGCAGATAGCCTCAGACAAATCCTTTAGCTATCCCGCCTGCACTCAGAGATCCCCATGCACCCCCCAGACACCCACCCACTAGGTCTTCTCGCACCCGCAGTTCTGCAGTTCTACACCCACACACCTCACCCCTACCACATCTCCATAATAAACCCCACCTCAGCCCTGGGGTCTCCCCTGCCCATGGCCATCCCTCCCATACTCCATCTCTCTGGGAGCCCTTCTTTATCTCTGCTTCTCCCTCTTCCCGTTCTCTCCCTGCACTTGGCCTCCTCTTCCCTGCACCTGGAGTGTCTTCCTGCATCTCTCCTCAACTCTTTTCTCCCATTTCTCTGCCTCTGCACCCCCTCCCACGGCTGTCTCCTGGTCCCCCACCCCTATTTCCTTCTCCACCCTCACTTCATCCACCTCCCCACCTCTCTCTCTCTCTCTCTCTCTCTCTCTCTCTCCCCTCCTCTCTGCTCCCTTCCTCTCAGCCCCGCCCATCCCATCTCTCTGCCGCGTGTCTCCACCATCTCCCTATCTCTCTCCCTACACTCATCCCTCATCTAACTCCCCCCTCCTGTTCTCGCTGCCTCTCTGTGTTCCCCCCTCCTCCCTTCCCCACCCCCACCCCCCATTGGCCCCTCTCATTTCCGTGTTGGTTTTGATTTCTCTTCCCAACGCTTTCAACTCCCCGCCGCCTCCTCCGGACACGTTATAACGAGGAGCCGTGGGATCGGCGCTCCGGGCCCTGCTCCCACGCTCCCTCCCGTCGTCTCTCCACACGTCTCTACCTTGTTGCAGTCTCTGCCGCCACTTTTTCTCTATATCTCCTGTGTTTAGTCTCTGTCCTGTGTGTGTCAGCACCCCCACACACACCCCAGGACGCGACTGGCCCCTCCAGCTGGGTCCCACCCATGACCAGTGTTTCTCCGGGTCTCCACATCTCTCTGTCCCTGGGTCTCTGGGTCTTTAGTCTCCACAGGGCTCCTTTCTCCATTTCTGGGTCTCCACATCTCTGTCTTGAGTCTCTGTTTCTTGCGAAGTCCCCATCTCCATGTCTATCTCCAGGTCTCTCTTTCAGTCCCAGTGTCCCTCTCTTGGGACCCCTTTGATCTCGCCATGCCCCTGGCACCCCCCTGGCCCCATTGATTGCTGATCGACCCGGGGAGGAAGTAGGGCCTGCGGCCTGGGGCTATAGGACCAGGCAGGAGCTTCGCAGAGCCACTGGACAGATGGACAGAAGGCCCCAGCCCCAGTGGCTGAGGAGGGGGAGCAGCCGCATCATGTGCTCCTCCCCACCGGCCGGCACGGTGCGGATGGGGACTCCGGGCAAGCTTTAATTTTTAATTTTATTTTGCTTCCTCCACCCCACTCACCCCCATCTCTAGCGCCCGCAGCCATGGCACCGAATGTGTGAGCTGAGCGTGTGAGGCAGCTAGTTGGAGAGGGGCTGGGCGGGCAGGGGCTGCCCGCCTCTGCTCTTTGCCAAGCACAATCACACAGACCCACACCTACTGCAAGCACACAGCTCACATCACACAGGCCAACACAGTCACACGTACACTACCACGTCCCCTACTCCACCATCACACACAAAACACACCCTGTCTAGATCAAGGGAATCACACACATCCCCAGTCACACACAACCCATGCAGCCCAGCCCACACACATCATTGAAGCTACACACAGCAGCAACATTGTCATGTTCAACAGTAGCAAACACACGATCTGACTAGACTGATGCATATTAACACAGGCACACTGTCACTCACCAGTGGTCACAAATATGGGAAGGCAGACCTTCAATCACGGGCACACAGTCACACACATAGACAGTGTCAGGGAAAACAGAGACACACCCGTCTATGTCAGGGATGCTTTGTGTGCCTGTCTGCACAGGACCCAATGTGTGTGTGTTTGGCGGAGGGTCTCTGGTGCCTGTCTATGTGGCCCTGTGTGTTCGTTGCTGACTTGGCTGTGCCGCTCTGTGTCTGGGGCCAACTCAGACACATAGCCACAGTCATTGTCCCCAGAACAATCTGCACAGTGGGGAACCTGCGTAGCAGCCCCCACCCCCAGAGAGGGTGCCCACTGAGAGGTGCCCGACTGGACCTTGGCATCACTGCTGTTGCTGCCACCATGGGCCTGTCTGGCCACCGTCTACGGGTCTTTTCAACATTTCTCTGTGTGTGTGTTCAAAACGTGTGCTTGCCTCATACTGTCTCGTCGTCAGTCTTCAATCATATCCCCCTCATTGTCTGTCTATCTGTCACTGAGGGTCTTTTGTTGCTCATCTCTGTGTACCTCTGATTCCGGCTCCGGGTCCATCCCTCTGTCCCTCTTGGCTTCTGGGCCTCTCTGCCTCTGTCTCCTTACCCCATCACCCCAGCCCCCTGGGCTGGGGTTTAACCAGCTGTTTTGATTTCTCTAAGCTGCGCTGGCCGCCTCGGGAGCTGCCTCAGGCCTCACACCGCCCCCAGCCCCTTCATCCCTCACCCAGGCCCCCCCATTCCCACCTCCCCTTAACACAATCTGCACAAGTGGAATGAAAATTGATTTTTTTTTTAAATTTCATATCTTCTCCAGGGCTCTGTCTAAAGAGGAGAGAGACGCGGCCCAAGACCCCTCTCCCCCCACTGCCCCTGAATACACACCACACACACACACACACGCACACACACACACCACACCCTGGAGCATGCAGCCTTCTTCATATCACATGTCTGTGTGGACACAGCTGTGCACACAGTCCAGATGTCCAGATGCACAAGGACGCTGCTCGGTCACAGACATGCAGACCATACACACCCCTAGACCAGGGCCATGCTGCTAGCCCCTGATTATGAACCCTTCTCCATAAGCAGTGCGTACCCTGTTCCACCCAGTGTAGGGCTGTGGTCCCTGTAGTCACATACAACGGGGTGCCTGTACTCAACACACCTATCTGTCCAGGTTCTAGCCATGTCTGGTATATACAAAGGCAGACTCAGGGACTACCTCACCATAGGCAGCAAGACACCCATGGCTGTCCTGGCAAAGAAGAGGTCTGGAGGTGCTGTCAGACCAGTATCTGCCACCCTTACTTCAAATATCACTCAATTCCCACCCCTGCTGTCATCAACCAAACACTCTGGCCTGGCGCTTAGGCAGGAGTGTCTCTGTGCCAACACTCCATAGTTCACATCCTATATATCACACATACCATATACATGCTGTACACATGTAACATGCCATATACACACAGTATACATACTTACATCACACACCATGTACAGCAGATTGTCTGTATACACTCTACATACATGCTGCACACATACCATACACCATATATACACCACAGACAAAACTATATACTCCTCCTATATACCATACACACAGCACATGACATACGACATACATTACATATAGCACACCACATTCCCATGTAACATATACACAAACACTACATACCACATGTCACAAACCTATCACGTACTGTGTGTACACATACCCATGACACCCCCATATATACACCACACACATACTACACATGCAGGTTACATAGAAACTATATGCCACACAAAGGCACATTCCACGTGGTATGTGTGAAACCACACAGATACCATATTTCAAATGTCACACTTCCACATGCTACCCATGCTATCCCCATATTACACACAGATACCAAATTTCACACATCACATACAGATACTAAACACATGACACCTCCCACACACATTAAACACAGCCTTTGTTACTTAGTGACACACACAAACACAGGAAATGCAAGAACTGAAATCCCCTATAACCCCTACATACAGAG